TGAATGATTTTATATAAATTTGGTAAGTTTTTCCCTACAATGTCAACTGCAATGTCAATATTTAGACGGTCTCATTGACATTGTGGAGAAAAACATACTAAATCTGTATAAAATCATTAAAATAAGGAGAAAAAGAATTTATTTACTAATATTTATGTGGATATTTCTCATGCCACGTGTGCACCGTGCACATTATACCATTGGAGATGCTCTTAGCGTTTACTAATGCCTTTTTCGCATCTTTACCATACTACCCAAACATTTTCCGTATCTCCCTTCCTGGCCTTCCACAAAAAATCTTCCGATCAAGAGAGAAAAAATCTTACCCCAACCCACACCAGCTTCTGCCGCAGAGCAAAAGAAGAACCGAGCTCCGATCCTTGGGAGATTGATGTTAACTTCTCGCGTCTGGCCGAATGATACCTCAAACGATTCTCGTATACCTCAAAAAATTCGGTTTTCAATTATGTTGTACATTAAGGCTAGGGGTCTATGTCTAGTTAGAAGCATTTTGATATTTCAGGAGTTATTTCCGAAAGTGGGGTAGTTTTTAAACTTATTTCGGTAGTTCTAAACTTATTTCCCAAATCAGGACATTTTTTTGCCATGTCAACTAATTAGCACCGTGGTTGCCATGTCAGTCTAACCACGTCATTCCAACATTTCGGTGTCATCCAAAAAGAAAATAAACACCAGGTTTCGAACCTGGGTTGGAAAATGGATGGCCGTGCTCGCCCTAATGCTTGAACCACTAAGTTATACCTTTCACAGGTTCAAAGGTCACCTTTCAAAATATTTAAATCAAAATTATGAATCATCGTTCCTTCTTTCCGAAGAATTACAAATATAATAAAAAAATTATTGGAAAAGTTAAATTAAAAAAAAAATAAACCTTATAATAAAAACCTTAGTTTTTCATATTTAATTAAAAAAATTAAAATGTCATGAAACTTATACGCAGTATAAAAAATATAATTTGCAGTATGTAATTAAAAAATATTTGAAATAACTCGAAAATAAATAAATAAAAAATATAAGTTGATGGTACCATGGATTCAAACCATGACCCAATTACGTAATCTAGCCCATAAACAGCATCAGCCCTTAACGGGATCAGCCTAATTACAGGATTAGCCCATAAACGAGATAAGCCCTTAACGGGATCAGCCTAATTACAGGACTAGCCCATAAACAGGATTTATGATTAAAAGCTGCTTAACCCGTTAGGAATTAGGCGCACGATAGGAACCCACAGCCAGGCCGGGCTGGACAGCAGACCTCGAGCCTGGGGGAGTTCTAGTGAGCCTGGGCAGTATAATTTTTTTGTTTTAAATTGGGATGGGGTAGGTATTAGCATTAAATTTACATATTTTTTAATTGTTATTTTTAAGTTATTTGAAATATCTTTTTATTACATATTGTAAATTATGTTTTTTCTATAAGTTTGATTACGTTTTAATTAAATATCACAAATTAAGAGTATAGTACTCCCACACTAAGAATATACATAGTAGTATTTAAATATCCTGAAAGGTGATCATATTGCAATAGAAAAGTGTAGCAATGTGGTTCAGCTATTGTGAGAAGCACGTTCATATTCCTCCCATGCTTCCCAACATAGGTTCGAATCCTTGCGTTGGGTATTTTTTTAATGATGTGGACAGGCTGACGTGGCAACCGCAATGGTAATTAGATGACGTGGCAAAAAAATGTCCTAATTCAGGAAATAAGTAGGACATTTGTAATCTCATTAATGTACCCTAGTTTGGGAAATAACTTTAAAAACTACCTCTCCTCAGGAAAAAACTCGATATTTCAGTCCCATTTTAATGGATATTTTTGTATTTTTTTACTCCGTATTAATTAAAGAAATTGAGCGTTTGTACTTATGGACTGTTTTCAATTTCTATTCGGTTGAGTGGATTCTTAAATAAAGAAATATAGATTTGACTAGCCTAATTAATCATAATATCATTATTTTTTATTAAATTTATTAATTCGTGATATAAGATTTAAAATAAACATTACTCGTGTTCATACATTTTTAGTTTTGAAATAGCAAAAACAGTTTAATTAGTTGAACTAATTATATTAATAAAAATTAATTGATGTCCTTAATGGTCATTTAACTAATTATCAGCTGATTGTCAACAGTCATTTAACCAAACGCTTTTTGACAAACTGCTAATCCTATCAGCTAATTGAAACAGCCAACAGAAACTGCTATCGTCAATCAGCCAACATAATCAGCCAACAGCTAAAAAAGCCAACAGCCAATGCCAAACACCCCCTAAATATATAATAATATTTCAAATCCAATGGTTCTAGTAATACCTCATACTCCGTATGTAAAATTGGTGTTTTTATCCTTATTAAATTCTTATACTACCATAGTACCATTAGGGTCAAGAATTGTATTTTTCGTTGAACTTAGTAATTTGTTATAGTATATGTTCAATATCAAGTGTCAATATTCTTGACTGTGATAAATTGTGAAAGTGTGACTTTCTTTTTTAAAGTATCACAATGATATCATCAAATCACAAGTTCCTTAATTGTGGTTAAGTAATCTCATTAATGAGCTAATGTATCTTTTTCTGATTTTTTTAATGTTTACCATAAATACTTTGTATGACTGTTCCAATATTTTACAAAGGAAGAATTCTAAAATAGAGTTGTTATGTTTTTATTCCCAAAATAGGAGTAATTAGTTTGAAAAATACTGTCATGTTTGAAATCTCGTACTGCCAAAATATGACAGTAATTAGCCTTATTTTGAAAATAAATATATGATAATACTATTTTGAAATATAAAAACTAAGGGTGGGCATTTCGGTTTACGGTTCGGTTTTCTTTGGTTTCGGTTTATTCGGTTTGGGAGAATTTGTACCAAACTAAAACCATTTGTGTTTCGGTTTGGTTTCGGTTCGGTTCGGTTTGAAGTTCGATTTACCAAAGTGAAAAGTATTAGGTTCAATTTAGTTCAATTTGATTCGGTTTCTTATGTTTATTATTTTATTTGATCAAGTTCTATATTTTAAATTAGAAAATGAAAGTAGTAGTAAAATATTTGACCGGTTCGGTTCGGTTTGAAGTTCGTCTTTTATTTATTATTTAAATAAAATGTAAACGGAAATATAAGATAGAAAAAGAAATAATAAAATATCACTTGTATAAATTAAAACATCTAACACCTTTTCGATCTCTATAAAATGATTCACTTCTTACAAAAAATAAATTTATAGTTGATTAGCATTTATAATATCACATTAAATATTTAAAGAAAAGTAAAGGAGAAAGTGATACAAATGTTGTAATATTCACAATTTTATTCTTAATCATGTAAAAATATAAATGTAATTTGATACTAATATCGCCAAACATCTTTTCATGCAAGTAGAGTACAAAACATAAAAAATACAAATATACCGTATTAGTTAACTTTGTTATAACGAATGCATGAAATGTGGAAAAGTTAAAATAATATATGTTAAATATGTATTTTCATAACTAAATTATTTATTTATATACTCCCTCCGTCCCAGGGAGAAGTTCCCACTTTCCTTTTTTGATAGTCCCAACAAAAAGTTCTCATTTCCCTAAATGGAAAGTTATACTACATCAAAACAGTGTCAAACAGTGCAAAACAGTGTCAAACAGTGTCGAAACAGTGCCAAACAGTGTCGAAACAGTGCCAAACAGTAAAATTTACCCCTCAGTAACTTTATTTCCTAAATATGTGTGAAAGTCAACCCGGAAACTTCTCCCTGGGACGGAGGGAGTATTAAAAATGAAGAGTGAAGATAAATACAAATGTGTGTGTCTATTTTTTTTAACACAAACCAAATATTTTATTAAAAGGAAAAACATTACAGAATGGGGACCAAATGTTACCCATAATTTAAAGTACACATAATAAAAGATTTCATCCAAAACTAGTCGAAGAAAGGGTTTCTCTAAATATCCATCGTAAAAATGTGTGACCCATCATCATATGTGGTACAATTATACGTAGCCCAATTAAACCCATCACCTCCACATAATCCAAAACCAGAAATAGTGTGTCTATATATATATATATATATAGGGGAGGGTTCTAGTGAGAACCCCTCTTAAAATGAGAACCCGTGAGAACCCCTGAGAATCAGTGGTATTTTTGGCTGAAATTTTTTGTGTATGTTCCTCATCAAGTCTAGTTCATCCTTACCAAATTTGAGCAAAAATTGCAATCGGGAAGGTCGTTAAATGATTTTTGAAAGAAAACTGGTCCAGAATATACATATAAAGCGCAATTTTCTATGTAATGCTCAGGTCCAGCCGGAGGGACGGGAGCCGCCGTCCGAACTCCGCCGTTTGGAGCTGTTCCCAGTGGAATATTTCGATGAAATTTTTTGAACATGTTCCTCATCAAGTCTAGTTTATCCACAAAACATTTCAGCTCAAAATTCGATCGGGAAGACATTCAAATCATTTTTTTAAAGTTGACTGCGCCAAAATATACATATAAAAACGTAGTCAACTTCAAAAAATAATTTGAATGTCTTCCCGATCGAATTTTGAGCTGAAATTTGGTATGGACAAACTAGACTTGATGAGGAACATGCTCAAAAACTTTCATAAGAAAATTCCACCGGTAACCACCCCAAACAGCGGAGTTCGGACGGTGTTTCGGACATGAGGAAAATACAATCATTTTTTGAAGTTTTTATTCCCAAAATAGGAGTAATTACTGCCAAGTTTAGAAAATATTGTCATGTTTGAAGTCTGGTACTGCCAAAAGATGACAGTAATTAGTCCTATTTTGAGAATAAAAACATGACAGTCCTGTTTTGGAATGTTCAAACCTTTGTAGTCCTATTTCGGGTAATATTCTCTATTCCATATAAAAATTGCAACTGGGGCTCACATTTAAAAGTAAAAATACTTGTTTCAAAATATGTGTACGGAGTTTCCAAAAATTAGGGAATCTTTACAACGGATTCTGTATAATAATTAAGTTTGATTTAATAAAAGTCATCATTGATCACAACTCTGAACTCCCTGGCTTCCTCCGACTAAATCGCCACTGCGGAGGAATACTAGTAGTCCGTATATGATTCTACTTTCTATATCTCTCTCTGCAGCCCTATTTAAACCGCTGCAGCCTACCGGCATAGCAACGCTCCCAACTCCCATTGATGCCGGTCTTCTCTTCTCTAGGTTAGTTTCTTCGATTCTTCAATCTTTACGACGAAGGTGTACTGTTATGATTTTTTTTGAAGCCACCCCCCCAGGGATTTGAAAACGTTGAAAGTTAGGCTCACCCTGTTTATTTTTATTCAGAAATTGTATTAAATATGAGTGAAAACGTTTTAAAATATCAAAATATTTTACTCAAATTTTCGAAATATGACTAAAAACGTTTGAAAATTCTAAAATATGACTCATGGTTTTATTTCATAAATAGGGGCAATCACTGCAAAGTTTGGAAAATATCATTGTTCTAGAAATCATTCTAGGCGTCCGACGAGTCCCTACTTAGGTTAAGCGGTGTCCAAGCGCCCCAATTTTAGTTCAGGCCCTTCGACTAATTGATTTGGCGACTTGGCGTCTAGCGGTCTAGGTGAATTAGTCGGGCGGCTAGAGAGTTTAGTTGCTCGCCCATAGCGCCTTAGAGCAGCATCTTCAATGCTAGAATGTGCACGGTGCACATGTGACATGAACATAGCCACACAAATATTAGCAAATAAATTATCTCTCTCCTTATTTGGATGATTTTATATAATTTTGGTATGTTTTTCTCTGCAATGTCAACATCTAGACAGTATCCTCGACATTATGGAGAAAAACTTACCAAAATCGTATAAAATCATTCAAATAAGGAGAGAAAGAATTTATTTACTGATATTTATGTGAATTGTCTCATGCCACATGTGCACTGTTCACATTGTAGCATTGGAGATGCTCTTATCGGCCTCCAATGATTTCTAGATTCGTCGAACATTTTTTGTTTCATTTTCATTTTATTTTTCTGAGAGATATATGTACCGTTAACTTAACCACTGATATAGAGAAAGCTGTTAGTAGATTAAGATAAAACTATATATGTTTGTATATATTTTTAAATTTTATTATTATTTATTTGATTTGATTTAAATTTTTTTTCCCAGGGGAGTTAGGGGGAGAGGGTTTGGGGGCCTGGGGTAAACTGGGTTCAATCTCACTCCATTAAGAGTTGAACCCGGGACCTCCCGTAAGGGAGAGTGAGTCGGCGACCAGTTGAGCTGGACCGCTTCCTCTTTATTTAATATTTATTACATAATGAAATTAAGCGATTAGTTATAATATTATTACTATATGTGACAATCTTATCGTTCATTCATGTTAATGTGCGTGTATAAGAACACAATACTTTTTTTCATATATGCAAAAATATTGATAAAAAAATAATTTTTATGTCTCTGACTAGTCCCGGCCTAGGCGCTCGAGGAAAATACTGTCATGTTTGAACTCTGGTGCTGCCAAAACATGACAGTAATTAGTCTTATTTTGGAAATAAATACATGGCAGTCATATTTTGGAATTTTCAAACCTTTTTAGTCCTATTTCGGGTAATATTCTCAAACTAATATTTTAGACTTTTTCATTTGAGGTGCTTTCGGGTCGAATTTTTTGAGAAAATTTTGTGAGTATGTTCTCAATGAAGGGTAGACTATGTCTACCAAATTTCAGTTTAAAATTCAATCGAGAAGTCAAATAAATAAGTTATTGAAAATTGTACAGTTTTTTATATATAAAATGCAATTTTTTCAATAATTTATTTAAATGACTTTTCGTTTGAATTTTAATCTGAAATTTGGGGGATATAATTTACAGTTCATGGAGAACATGGTCACAAAAATTCATAAAAATATTCCACCCGAAGCATCTCAAAATTTGTAAGTTTTAGACCTACCACAGGAGAAACATTCTCCTATATATATAGGGTCTGTTTGCAACAGCTTGTGCTTTTAAAAAAGTGTTTTTTTAACGAAATGGGGAAAAGTGATTAAATAAAAGTTGATAGTGTTAGAGAAAAAAGTGATTTTGAAAAGTAAAAGTGGGTAGTGTTTGGTAAAAGTAAGTGCTTTTTGTGTAATAGAAAAAGGAAAAGTACTTTTGACGCGGAAGCCGAGAAAAATAAAAGTTATAGTGTTTGAAAAAAAAAGTGCTTTTTTAAAGCCAAAAGTTGAGAAGTGCTTTTTTAAAAGTAGTTGCAAACCAACCCATAGTCCTATTCGTGTCCAACCAGCCTGACGGGAATTGCCGTCCGGCCGAGGGCATTTTGGACCCTTCGCAGTGATTTTTTTATGAAATTGTTCTAGCATGTTCTTTATCAAGTGTAGTTTACTTATACCAAATTTCAGCTAAAAATTCAACCTGAAAGGCAGTCAAATAAATTATTTGAGAACACTGCGCAATTAATATATATAAACCGCGCAGTATTTTTTTAAAATTATTTGACTGCCTTTCCGGTTGAAGTTTTAGATGAAATTTGGTATACGTGAACTAGACTTGATAAAGAACATGCTCAAAAAGTTTCATAAAAACATTCCACCGGAAAGGGCCCCAAACGGGCTCTCCAGACGGCGGTTCTCGTCAAGCTGACTGGACATGAAAATTTGGGTTAGTCTAAGTATCTTTGATTAATTAGTCTAAGTATTACCAGGCTTTTAGTTGAGATAGAAGCACACTTTTAAATTAAACAAGCCCACACGCCTACATGTCCTAATAGTACTAGGATGTTCGAATTTCTCCAATAAATAAATACAAGCAGAGGGGTTCGAACAGCCTAAACCTCTAAACGTTAAATTCCCCACTTATTATTTTGGTAAAACACCTCTCTAGTTTTCTCTCTCAACTGTTCATACGTATATCATGTAATATTGTCATATTATTATGAACATACATTATTTATTGTTGAGTGATTATTATTCTTCTACACAATTTCTTCATATTATTATTTAGATTGTATTTTTTTTCCGACTGTTGATCTGGAATTACACAACTTATCAGGTCCCGATGAGAACATTCTTTAACGTGAGAAATGAGAACAGTCCAAAACGATTCAGATTATGGTTCACAAAGGTACACATTTATATGATGGCAGAAAATTGTGAGTTAATTACGAAAGCTTCACCAAGTCACTCATTCCTTTATAACATTTTTACCCTTTAGCAACCATTAGATCTCAAATTCAACGCACCAGATGCATTCATACTTCTTACAATAAACTGAATATATAATGCGTGTGTGTGTAAATCTGGACCGTCTGATTGTATTCTATGAAATTGAATGTGCATTAGTTTAAACTGAAATGTGCATTAGATGAAGTCAAAATGTGCAGCTTAAAAGATACGCATAGGGGCATTATGTGAAGCTGAATTGTGCATTATGTGATAGTGAAATCTGCATTAGGTAAACTGAAATATGCATTAGGTGAAACTGAAATGTGCAAAATAAAAGCTACTATGTAGTGGACATTTTTGTGCCTTTTTATTATGCACATTTCAATTTCCCGTAATGCACAATTGAGTTTTTACCTTTTATTATGCACATTTCAATTTGACCTAATGCACATTAACTGCACTCTCATAAATGTAAATGTATTTGAATCATTTATTTAATACTATAAATTTTCATTTGTGAAAGAAAAATCAATGATCATTGTTGCAAACATAACTTTTTATAAAGTTCGAGATATTTATATTACATATATAAATTTAAGATGTTTATCTCACACCCCTTTAAAGCTTGCATTGAGGTATTTGAAATATTTTCCCTATAAGTAAACTAAATATTTTCATATAGGTTAGTTAACTTAAATCTGAATATTATTTTCTTCCATTCGCTCCGATAAAAAAATATCATAGATTTACTTCAGTTTATTCTATCCACACGAGAGAAATGATCCTACCAGGCCGGTCTTATTGGATCCGCCGTCCGAGTGAGGCCATTTGAGTTCTTTCCGGTCGAATTTTTTGATGAATTGTTTTGAACATGTTTTCATCAGTTAAATAAATTAATGAATTACTGCGCTTTATTCAAACAATTCATCAAAAAAAATATTGACCCAAAAGACTCTGAAATGGACTTGGCCAAACGGCGGATCCTGACAGGCCAGATCGTTCCTCTCCATACAAATCGTTAAGAATCTTTTGAGTCGTTTTCTTCAAGGTGAAAATACTAAATAAGCTCCCTCGAGTTTGATTCTACGCTCAATTTATTTGTGTAACAAAGAGAACTTAGGAAGTTTTTACTTGAACTGATTTCGGTCCCAGACTAAACAAAATCAAATTAGATCATACTTAAATACATCAGATTAGACCAGATTTGAACAATTGTAAAATACATATAGATTAGACATTTATCAGACCAGACCAATTCAGACCATATTTAAATAGACTAGACCAAACCAGAAAATTTTGGGCACATTTGAATTGAAATTTTGAAGGCTATTTAACATAAGTACAAACCCATATGGTAATACTGAAATTGATTGAATGGTTAAATCTGCCGAAATGGATGAAATTCTAGCATAAGTGGCTGAATCTATTAAATTGTGAAAATTATATATTTGAAATAGCTAAAATTGCACTCTAGAATAATTTCAACTAATTCAATCGGTTATCTAGTCACATTACTCACATCTTTGACTGACTAAAATTGTTCAGTGTGATTTGACCGATCCCAACCACTCGACAACCACTTTGACCGTCCGGTTATCGAGTTAATTTTCTCCATCTATATGACTGAGCTTTTGATATCATCAGAAAAGTTTGATGAGATTTGATTTGATTTGATCCGTTGCCATCCATTTTGATTTTAACATTTCTAATTTGATTTGATTTGGTCTATTTCTGCCCATTTTGATTTTAACATTTCTAATTTGATTTAAATAAGAACAAGCCATTAAAGTAATGAGTTAAATTGAATTAAACTAACACCTAAGTTAAAGATTTGACATAAACGTGAATGAGTAATGACTTTCTCTCTTATTAATTCAAAATAAATACTACTCATATCAGTATATGGAGTAAATGAGTAATGGGCATAGCAATTTTCTTTCTTTGTGCCTCTCTACCTATGTCAGGAGGTAGGATTCAGCTCGTAAAATGCTTCCCAATCTATCCTAGATGAGGTTGTAAAGCATTGCCATTTGTAGAAATCAGCTGGTCAGTGGGGTTCTCGGAATTCAAGGAACGGTGGAATATCACGCCGGCGGCCGGCCTCCCTTGCACCCCTCCCGTCGGTGGATTTGGATATCTAGTCGAAGTCACAGAGATGTAAGTTCTTGTAATTTCTTTTCCTGGATTTATGATTACTAACTGATAAGAATTTGTGCTAATTAGAATTTAATTAGAGAAACATTCTGCATGTGAACATTTGATGCGAGAAGTTCATTCAACAGTCCCTATGCTGTCAGCAATCCCATCCATGAACTTCGGATTGAGAATTTCTGATACATATTTCGATCTGTAGAGTTTACTTAGTTCAGATTTATAAATTTAGAATACTTTCTCCAAAGAAAACTAAAAAAAGTTGACACCGAGAGATACTCCCTCCATTCCTAATCCTAATTAGAACCCATGTTGTAACATAGTTTTCCTCCTTATTGAATCGAATACAGGGGTAATCCGGTGTACATTGGCGGGAAATGTCTCACCAAAAGAGACATGGCGGTGTAATGAATTTGGAGGCCCCGATTCCAAACAAAGAATTGAGGCCCTCTAAAGCAACAAAATATAAAATTTAACAATTAAATACAATTAGTATAGATAGTTCAATGAAATATAAGTTTTATACTCCGTAATATTTACAATACACAAATTAGACAATGCAGAAGTCATACAACGTTTAGAATCTGGAATAATGCATAGAAAAATTAACCTATTACTACTACTTTATACTAATTTTTTTAGGTCCCCTATAAAAATGGGCTACGGTGTCAAAAGACCTCCTAAAAGACGACTGTGAAAAGAGTGTATAAGTAGCAAAAGAGTCCATTTCTTTCTTCAATGGTGGGTATAGAATTTCACGGTCTTTATACCTACTTTATTTAAAATGAGTGAGTAAACGTACTTCTGAAAATTGGGGGACTGTTGTGGCACTAGTGTGGCACATTGCTCCTAGTGCCCTCCCAATGTTCAAACTTTGATATCATATATCGTTTTATTTTAGCCGATTCCAACCTCTTCTTGGACTAAGGATGTTTTACTTGGACTGTTTTCCGTCCCAAATCAGACCAAATCAGATCGGTTAAGACCAGACCAGACTTGGATAGTTATAAAATACACAAAGACCAGACGTTTACCAGACTCGATCAGAGTAGACCAGACCAACAAATTTCAGCCCAAGTAAAAACATCCTAAGGCTTGGATGTTGTTGTTTTTGTTGTAAAGGACTGATAGGCTCATAAGAAGTAAACTTAAACTTTTAAGTAGATTTGCATAAGCAAGGATAAATCGCGGATAGGATAGAAAAATGGTCTTACTTCAATCACTTGTGTTTGAGACATTGTTGAGATCTAGTCAGGGGCGGATCTACTTTGTTCGTGTTCAAGTGAACACCCAAAATTTTAAAAATACAATACAAAAATACATGTCAAGAATTGATGTAATAATTTTTTATGTAATATCTTAATGGTAAAATCATTTTGAACACTCAAAATCTGATTGCAAGATCCGCCACTGGATCTAGTCCCTCCATTTATAGGTTATATACCAACAACATATGGTCTATATAGTCTGTGTAGTCAGAGAATGGTTTCCCTTGAGAAAAAATGTCTCAGCTGACTTTCTCTCGATAGTTAAGCAGCTCAGGATTCCACATGACCACATTGGATAAATATTAACATGTAAACCAATATATAATGTTTTAATATAGTACTAGTATCTCCACCCGTGTGTTGCATAGAAGTGTGTTAACTACATTACAATTGACTTTTCATGTGTACAACGTTTTACACAAATTTATTTGGTCTTCCCTCATTGTTTTATATCACAAACTTCAATTTAGATGGACATAAAGCTTAAGACTTCAATTTTAAAATTGACTTGCTCCAATAAGCCCAGATGTTAAAGGAAATCAATTTTTAACCAATACATGATGTCTTAGACTAATTTTCTTAACATGTTTGTTTTAGGATGAAACTCCATGCTCTAACAAGGTAAGAGCTTAATATAGGTATATGGTGCGGAAATTACACATAAGGTCCAAATTTTCAAGGTCATAGGATAATACTTTTAAACTATACAAAGAGGGGAATCACCTAAAGAATTAGTTTAATGTAATGTATACTAAAATTCCTAAGCTTACTTTTTTGAAAGATACCTGATTTATCATAATCTCTATTAATCCAATTGTCTTATCATTTTGAAGTATCAATTTATTATCACAAAGATCCAAAATAATACTCCCTCCGTCCCGCTAAGATCTTCCTGCTTTCCTTTTTTAGCCGTCCCAAAATGAAGTTCTCGTTTCCCTAAATGGAAAGTTATCCTACATCAAAACAGTGTCAAACAGTGCCAAACAGTGTACTCTACAGTAAAGTCAAATTTATTTCCTTAATATGTGTGTAGGTCAAACTAGGAAGTTCTTAGCGGGACGGAGGGAGTAGTAGCATTACGGTTATATTTACAGTGATTAAAAATTTTCAACTGATGCTGGGCCAAGTTTTATTAATAACTTGATATTTTCCTTATAATTAATTTGTTTCCCACACCTATAGGTTTTCTATACATCAATACATGTCAGACAAGCACGTGAACCCTTTGAAAGAGACAATTTAAAGTTTTTCAGTGTAGAAGTAGGGGGCCGTTCCAGTTTAGCTTTATACAGTGACATGTCTATGTAATTGTCCACTTTGAGTTCTTGAAAGGTAATGAGGTGATCTTGATGCATGTGATAATGATTTAGTATCTCTTAAGCATAACACATGAATTCATAAACACAATCATTCTTACATTAACGTAAGTGGCCTTTTGGTACCCACTGATTTCCCAATCACTAATTTCAGCTATTAGATGCCTGCACTAAATTGATAAATGTAAAAAAGAGTAGGGTGAAGGTACTTTTTAGCAGAAGCTGGTGAAGTTGATTATTTTAGTTGCCTATTATTTAGTTTTCCTTTTTCTTTTTACTACTCATTGTTTTTATATTTCAGCAATTTGAGCAATTCATCTCCAAATTTGACTGTAGTTAGCTTCATCAATCACTTCTTTGTGATGATTTGGTCGAGTGATACAAGTCCATCATCCGGGAGAAGATCTATGAAGAGGGTTTTCTGCTATAATAGTGAGGAGTTTCACAAATCCCCACCTAAGCCCAAGCACCAGAAGGTTGATGTGACCTCTAAATCTTCTGAATATATTCATGCCGAAGATCCAACATTTGCTAGCAGTAGGACTGTTGTTGTGGCCCTCCCTTCAACACCTAATACACTGAAACATAGAATTCAAGATTCAACAAGATATGAATCTGTTGAAGTGAGAAGAAATTATAATGATGAAATGGAGGTATCTGAAGGTTGCGAAAATTGTAACTTTGATAATACAAGTATAAATAATGGTGAAGCCAAACTTGGGCATAGGAATCCGCATCCTAACAAGGGCAAACATAGAAAACTAAGTTTTGGGCACGAAAAAGTCAATAGTGCCCCCACTAATGAGCGTTCCTTAGAAGCTTGTCGTGAACGAGTTTTGGATGTTTTACAACACTTCAAAGGAATCTATAACAAGCTTCTTGAAGAATCCAAAGAAGATCAAAGCAGAGTCAAGTATGCAAAAAGAAGCCTGCCCGTAAAAGCTGCATCACTCCTCAAGCAAAACAAAAAATGGATACGAGACAACCCAACCTTTGGAATTATCCCTGGAGTGGAGATTGGCGATACCTACCAATTCAGGGCGGAGCTTTCAATTGTGGGACTTCATCTCCAATATCTAGCCAGCATAGAATACACAGATTTTAATGGAGGACCCCATGTAACTAGCATTGTGGATTCTGGTCATTTTGAAAGTGTTAACTCTGAATGCCTTGACACTCTTACCTATGTTGGTCATGGAGAGAACCATAATGATTCGAGTTCTAGTACAAAGAAGCTGAATGAGCAAAAGTTTGAGAAGGGTAACCTTGCCTTGAAGAACTCGAAGGATTCAAAGCTTCCTATAAGGGTCATATGTCTTCAGAAAACTCTAGGTATGAGTTTCCAAGGCTACATTTATGCGGGGTTGTACGTTGTAAGCAACTATAAGCAAGAAAGAGACCAAAGGGGAAAAATGGTCTTCAAGTTTGAACTATGCAGACTTTGCGGGCAGCCAAACCTCACTCTCCCATTGGATTGGGATTGGGTAGAAGTCAAAAAGCCCCAAGGAGACCGCGGTGTTAAGAATCTTGTTGTGGTGGACGATGATGTTTCGCAAGGCAAGGAGAAATTTTCCGTTCGTGCAATAAATGATCTTGATAATGAAAAACCCCCTCCTTTTATTTACATAACCAAAATGATAAAACCTTTCTGGTTCAATCCTCCTTTTCCCAAGGGTTGCAATTGCAAAAATGGATGCTCATATTCAAAGAAATGCGTTTGCACGCTTAGGAACGGTGGTGAGATTCCATTCAACAATATTGGTTCCATTATTAAAGCCAAGCCAGTGGTTTACGAGTGTGGGCCATCTTGCAATTGCCCCCCTTCATGCAAGAATCGGGTTAGCCAAAACGGCCTACAATATCATCTTGAAATTTTTAAAACCAAGTCTAGAGGATGGGGTGTCCGGTCCCGTGATCACATTTCTTCGGGAAGTTTTATATGTGAATACATCGGAGAACTACTAGATGAGAATGAAGCGGAGAAACGAATCGATTGTGATGAATATCTCTTTGACATTGGTAACTACGATGAAGGAGAAGAGATTGACCTAGAAAACATTCATAGAAAGGATAGTGAGGGCTTCACTATTGATGCGGCGTGGTTTGGAAATGTGGGGAGATTCTTTAACCATAGTTGTTCCCCCAACCTCTATGCGCAAAACGTGTTGTTTGATCATGATGACAAGAGAGCCCCTCATCTAATGCTGTTTGCTCAAGAGGATATACCTCCTTTGCAAGAGCTAACATATGACTACAATTATAAGCTGGATCAGGTTCGTGATTCTAATGGAAACCTCAAGAAGAAGAATTGCTATTGTGGCGCGCAGGAGTGCACTGGAAGGATGTACTAGTAGAAGGGGATATCTTTCTCCACATTCATGTGCAAACTATCGATCAAGGGTTGGGTTGATGTGGGTTGGAACAGAACATGCCATGGTTATCCGTAGTTGGATTGATGTGTATTTTTCTTCTTTTCTCGGCATATAGGTTTGATAGATTTTTTGCTCTGTGTGTACTTGGTTAGTGTCCATTTTTTACTCAATCGTCTGAGAACATTACCTAATAATGAAATTTTTAGTACCGAAAGTTGAATATTCTGGTCTTGTCAAGTGTTCTAGGCTGCTTTTGTTTCGAATGTTTAATATAGACGTGTTCAGGTAAATTATGATCAGTGGTGACGCTCATTATCAATAAAGCAATTACACTGTCCAAGTCCACTAGATGTGACATATGTTTAAACCTCGTTAATAATTACTCCGTAGAAAACATAATTATGTAGTGTACCCGGTCCAGAACTGAATCAGAACTGAGCGGGAGAACCGAGCGGGTAAATCACTGGACTGAAGCCGGACTAATTGGGATACAGTAGAGGATCTATGGGGGGTCTACCGGGGCAAGTGTCCCGGCTTCCGGCCAAGAATTTCACTACTAGTGCTTAGGGTAAACTAGGTGCCCCTGCTTCCGGCCAAAAATTTCACTACTACTACTTCGGGTAAAATTAGTGCCCCAACCCGTTATTAGAATTAGATAATCAAGATACTAAAATGTTACGGTTATAAATTAGGAACATGAGTTTGGATAACTTTGTAATTCGGACTAAGAGGTCTTTAACTCGAGGGGATAGTTCTTCGAACGTTCCTAATCAGTCTATCTCAATCGATGCAAATGTTGTTGCTCCGAATGTAAGCATTGTCCGAGATGAGTCTAATGACACCAGGGGAGACAAAAGAGCCCGCACAGATAGTACGTGTGAGTGGGATATCATTAGCGATCCCGCATTACGAAAGCCAATCATTGGATATGAGCCTCGAGTAAGAGATGACGTGATGAGTGCGTATGTCGTTAAAGGTGCTTGTCAACCGTTGTCTCATAGTATTTCTAAAGATGCTGCATTTTGCTTTGGCGTTACCTTTTCCATGGGGTAGAAGGGAAGAGATTTGGAGATGACGCATTTGTGAGGACCGAGTTTAGCATGTCTTGATCCTAGAGATAAGTTCTCCAATTTCTGTGAGTCAAAGCTACTGAACCTCGCAGAATTATATTCATGCGGTTTTTCATCTGTTGATCGAATGGAGCTGAAAGAGTAACTCCAGGTGTGGATATATGAAATGAGAACAAATGAATTATTTTCTGCCGTACAGACTATTGATGAAGTTTGCAAAAAGATGGTTGAGCTTAAAGTTCACAATTCTTTTCACTTGGTATATCGTCTGATTGAGTTGACTTTAGTATTACCAGTTGCAACAGCCACCGTTGAAAGAGCCTTCTCTGCGATGAATATTATCAAGACAGATCTTCGCAATAAGATGGGAGATGATTATCTTACAGATTTACCAACATTTTCAGAATATGAAAACTCGTAGGCTTGATTTACTAAAGTTGCATAAATGAACTATTTAATATGTAATTAACTACTCTGTATAATAACCAAGCATTCCAGCCCAGCTGGTTGTGAGGTTACCATGCCAAGTGGGAGGTCTCGAGTTCGAATCCCGCTAGGCACAAAAGGGTTTGAAACTCAATGGAGTCAGTTTCAGCCCTGATTACTCCAGGCTCCCCCCAAACCCCCTCCCCTAGACCCCCTAGAGTAAAAAAAAAACTACTCCGTATAATTTATGCTATTGCCTTACTTTTTACCATCTTTATTACATTTGAAAATTTTATTATAGAGTAAGTTTAGTGTCTAGTGTGCCCCTGCTCTGATAAATCTCTGGGTCCGCCACTGTTGGGATACGACAAAAACCGGTTTTCAAACCGGCCAAACTCATGACCGGTCTTCCTAAAAATGGGAGCGGACCCGGTGATGGATTTATGGAGTGCCTATACGGTAAAGTCGGTTGTACAATGAGCACTTACAGCCGGTGATATTTTAGTAATTTAAATAAATTTGCGTCTTTTGCGAAATGAGCATTAATGTAGTTCATGTGAGCATTAGACAAATTCTGTTGAGTATTACAAGTCTAACAATGAGCATCGTGATCTCTGCTTCATATCTTCTAATTACTTTCCTTTTCTTATTTTTTCTTGTATAAAAACTTATAAAGTTATGTTTGTAATCAACTTCGATAAACTTCAATATGTGAATTTTAAGTAATTTGGCATTTTTGAAATATGCATTGATATGACATTTTTAAAATGAGCATAATATCAGTATCGAATGAGCATACGCAACTTACAAAATGCGCATTGATATGAAAATCGTAAGGTTTGTTAGTTAAACATCACAACATTTTCATTGAACATCAAACCTCCTATATTGAGATGAAAATAACGGTTGATAATATTTCTATGAAATGATAGTTTTGAATATGATAGCATCAATCTTTCTATAATCAACTCTCATGAGAATCTAATGAACATGATAGTTTTGAAATATGCATTGATATGACATTTTAAAATGATTATAAAACCAATACCAGTTGAGCATACATATCTTACAAAATAAGCATTGAAAATACAAAAACTCATTTGAACTCTCTCTCATATGTTCAAATATATTAAACTTTCATTTATAAAATTCAAATTTTGAAATTAAATAAACATTTCTACTTTTTGTAAAAACAATTGAGTTGATGGTCGAGATTATTAAAAGAAGAACGAGTATAGTTCATACTCTGTATTATTTATAGAATATGCATATTAGTTTATATTTAAAATTGACTTGTTATAGTCGGCTATATCCGGTCATGAACCAATGAATCATTATTGGCGGACGGTCCATATAATTGGGATTATACAAGAATAAACAATGTTGAAATTATTGTTAAGCGAACCGGTAATAATATGCATTTTTAATTTCAACTTTTTCTATATATAACCATGGTAAAAGTTTTATTAAATGGCAAAAGGTTGAATTTGAATATGACAAAATTAATTATATACAATAGGTAGTTAAAAGAGCGTGCATTAAGTTGAATGTATGCTTTTAAAAAAAATGGCTAAAGGGTCAAATAGGTCCTTGAACTGACTTAAAGTGTTCAATTATCCCCTTATATAGGAGGTTCTGCCCGGTCGTCGCTAATTGGGGCGGTTCCCGATGGAATTTTTTGATGAAAATTTTTTAGCATCTTCTTCATTAAGTCTAGTTTACTCATACCAAATTTCAGCTAAAAATTCAACCGGGATGGCAGTCAAATGATTTTCTGAAATGTACTGCGCTGTTTAACTTCGCACTTGGTATGAGTAAACTAGACTTAATGAAGAAGATGCTAAAAAAAATTCATCAAAAAATTCCACCGGGAACCGCCCCAATTGGCGACATCCGGTCAGAACCTCCTATATAAGGGGCTAATTGAACACTTTAAGTCAGTTCAAGGGCCTATTTGACCCTTTAGCCAAAAAAATTGAATGTATGAAGCGCATTAGAAGTTAGAACTTTAACCAGGATTGAGAGTACATTTAACTATTATACTTTCAAAGATTCTAAAATTTACATGCATAACATGTACACATAATAAATAAATTAATACGGAGTAATATTTATATAAATACTAGTTTTACGATGCGCGTTGCGCGATGAGATAATGCGCAACATTATATTATTTTAAAATATTTTTATTAAAATGTATTTTTTGTTAGTAGAGTTAAGACTTTAAGTTGTATGAATGTAAAAACAAGCCATGACAAGTGCGTGAGAACATATGAAACTTACATACTTTATATCTATGTTTACATATTGCTCGCGAAGCTTGGGAGCTGTTGTCCTAGAAGTGGACAGATGGGGATGAACTCTCTCTGGTGGAACAAATTAATCTGGAAGTGCAAACTAGGAGGAAGGAAGACTTGGAAAGGATGATTTGGGGCAATTGGGCTGTCTTGTGCGAGAGAAACTACCGGGTGTGGCAAGGAACTGCTTCGACAACTCCTCAGTTTATTAATCGAGCTCGGGCTGTAGTTGAAGGCTGGCGACAACTCCATTCTGGGCGGTGGAATGAGCCAAATCAGAGGCGGCAGGCATTAGAGACCTAGAGGAAGCCGGGAGCAGGAGGCTTGAAGTTGAATGTGGATGCGGAAGTCCGTATGGGCGGGTGCGGGCTCGGGTGGTGCTTACGGGATGATAATGGGAGCTTTGTGGCGGGGGCAGCCTATTCGTGGCCGGGGAAGTGGACTCCGCTTGGGGCTGAACTGCTTGGAATCCGAAAAGCTCTCAGCTGGATTAAACAGTACGGGTGGAATGAGGTTGAGGTGGAGACCGATGCAATCCGGGCCGTTGCAGAAATTACACTTGGGTCCAGTTGTTCTTCCATTGGCTTGTTGGGCGAAGACATTAGAGACTTGACGAAATCGTTCATGAACATTTCTTTTAGTCATATTATGCGTTCAGCGAATAAGACAGCTCATGCTCTAGCAAGAGCTGCTTGTTCTTTGTCTGAGTCGCGGTCTTGGTTTTATACTTCTTCTTCTTTTATTGTTTCATGATGCTGATTTGATTAATGATAATTAAGTCTTCTTTTTGCAAAAAAAAACTATGTTTACATATTGGGTTATGAATTTAGAGAAAGCTGTTTCTAATAAAGTCAACAATTTATATTGGTTGATTCAACTCAACAATTTAGTCTAAAAATCAACAATTTAGTCTAAAAATAAAAAGATGCAATTTTATGAGTGAAAATGTTCAAATAATAGACCAAGTAAATTAAAGGCGAGAATTCAATTTTTTTTTTTAATTTAAGATATATCTAACGGAATTTGTAAGAATAAAAACAAATAGTTGGTCAATTAGCATTTCTAATGGAAACTTCTCTTTTTTATATTTAAATACAGTTTATTACAATTAATTCGTTACAAATCTGATTTTAGATGTGATTTTTGTTACAAATTTCATTATTTTAGCGGCTTTAATATCAAGTACTCAACATTATTAAATTTACCAACACGATTGCATCATTAAATTGATGATTTTTTTAGATGCAATTAAAATATAATCCAACCATTTAGCATCATGGTGTAACGTGGATATGGTTCATTTCAATGCTTCACTGAGTCATTATCACGCTTATCACACTTAAAATGCAATGCTTCATCGGTTCACGCTTATCACACTTTAAAAGTAATAAATTGCGGATTTCTTTAAAAGTAATAAATTGCGGATTTCTCTTAACTTTCAAAATCTAACTAAGATAGTTTGATAACTTTGATTTGGTTCTTGTGACAGATGTTTTTATGAGATAGGTTCACGTTGATGCATGTGGGGGGGGGGGGGGGGGGGTACCTAGACTGAATTTTAAAGACGGCACAACTTTTGTAAATTTGTTTTGGTAATTATTAGATTGTGTAAACTAGATAATGTCTTGTAAAATAGCTAGAGGGACCTAATTTATTGTCTCAATAAATAATTAATGCTACTCAAACTGATATATAACCTAAAGTATTTGAGTCTTTGTGTATATAAAGTGTTTCAAGTTAACATTAGTATACCCCTTGTGACGGTATGAAAATATCAAACACCACATACATGATACGTAGTAATTGGTAGCGTAGCCAGAGGTAGTTTGGTCTGGACAAAGCCAGAGAACTTTTTCCGGTAAAATTATACACAAATACTATATACATGAAAATTCAAAATAAATAAATTTAGGGTTAGATGTCGCCTAACATATAATAGATGCTAATAATATAATGTCGGAATACTATTAGAAGAAAAAACTTAATTGACCTAATATATAATATACTCCTATTATTTATAGTATTTGTTATAATGATAATAATAATATAATTAATTTTTTATTTAATATATAAAATATAAATAACCATCGTTTATCCAAATGTCTATGTCACAATCTACAAAGGGAAAATTTCTCAAATAGGAGTAAATATGTTTTGGAATTCAAAAATAGGACTGTCATATTTTTATTACCTAAACAGGAGTAATCACTATCAAGCTTGAAAAAAACGATCATGTTTTAAGGTTTGCTAATGCCAAAACATGGAAGTAATTACTCCTAATCAGATAATAACAACATGATTGCCCTATCTTAAGATTCACAAGCGTTTTACTCCTATTTAGGGTAATTTCTTATCTACACAATATTTAATTTATGTTTGTACGTCTATCTTATTCATGATTTTAGGGGCTTTTTTGATGTTATTTGATTTCATGTTCAGTGATCTCCAACTTTATTACAGAGTATGATATACCATTAATTATATTTAATTATGTAATTAATGCCAACACATAACATTGACCATAATTATATTTAATTATGTATTACTAATAAACATTATAAAAAGTTAATATTTTGGAAATTGACATTAATAAAAATTTAGTAATATTTTATACAAAATAATTTTATTATATATGTTAGTAGAAAATCATGATTAAAGTAAGGTGTGTGAATAATACAAAAATTAAAATGTTGCAACAATTAAAGAACGGAAGAATTCTAAAACAATGATGAGTGAAAAAATAGAAATTAATAATCTCATCTTTTAGCAGTCTTCTTACAATAGTCTCACCTAACAGTATTTCATGCATAAACTCATTTTTGCACCCCATCTTTTTTCATCGGTTTCGCGTATCTTCTTGACTCTTTTATTCTCTTTTTAATCTTCTTATTCTTATTTTTATTTTTTTCCATGTTTATGTATTCCATTTTTTCCTTCTTTTTTTTCTTCCTGACATTATATTATTTCCATTTTTATGCATTTTTTCAGATTATTTCCCTTCTTATTAAAGATCTTTTTCGCACCTTACTATTTTTTACTGTACTTTGTTTTTATTTCCACTTATTTATTTCCTTTTTCCTTTTCTTACCTTGATTCCACCACTAATACTTACTCCGTTCTTTTTTAGTTGCAACGGTCAACATTTCACATTTGTCAATGCACGTCTTTGAACGTAATTATATCTTAATCTCTATTAGTAAAAAAATAATTAAAAATCATATTTTGAAATTTTGTAATGAGATGAATTGAACAATATTTTTTTTAAAAAAATAATTTTCGTAAAACAATACCGTAAAATGTAGTCAAAGTAGAACATGTGAATAGTGTAAAATTCAACATGTTGCGATTAAAAAAACGGAAGATAGTATATTTTTCTCTTTTCTGAAAAAATTCAAAGAAAAATATAAACAAGTAGTCGGGAAAAAAATTATAAAAAGATTGTGTTGGGTCTTACGTTAATGGCCCAATCGAGGGATCGTCCCATTACCCCTTTTGTCGACGAGCGTCTAGGCCCAAGAAAAGCTTAGCCGCAGGGCCCGAACAAAGGTTCAGACGAACGTCCCTGGCTTCCAAGGCCTACCAGGGGCAATTATCCATCACAACCCAAGACATTAACGACGTACGTCCCTCCATGGACGCCAGCCTCAGAAGCCCTAGCCACAAGGTTAACCGGCATACTCTTGCATAAGCAGCCAGAAGACGTACGGCTTTCCACCCTTGGTAGCATCATCAGGGGAAGGCCCATCGCTGGGTGTGAAACCGAGATTCTGACGGGAAGTGCATTCAATGCTAGAGATTTGGTGGTTGAGACCCTAGCCATCCACAGGCCACACTCCACAGCTCTACACGTCAGCGTGTCCACCTGCCCCTTGGTAGTATAAATAGTAGCATTTACCCGCCTTAGCATTCTAGCATTCCTATAACTCGTAACAGTATTCTCAGCTCTTCCTTGGTCCAGAGAGACGAACGACCATTGGCCAGGTAGCACTTGTGCGTTATAATAGATCCTGTTTGTCACTTCATGAGATACAACTCACTGCTACAGGCATATTAATCCCATCTTACTTGCTTGCACCGTATATTCACATACACTCTTCCACTCAAAATACATAGGTTACATGTTGGGCCTACAGGTTGAATGAATAAACCTCAATAGAGACCACGATAAATAGAAATACATAAAAAGTAAAGAAACATTAACGCTCCCTCTTCGGTGCATCAGCACTCTCTCACTCGGCATGTCTCTAGGCCTAGGCTGCGGTAATTGAGTTTTTTTTGTACTTTCGAATTTTCTTTTCAGTTTTTGTGGCCAGAGGATTGTAGCTTTGAGCAGCGGTTGTTCCTTAGGGTTTTCTAGGGTTTATTTTTCTGGTGGGGTTTAATGCCTGCAACCGGTAGTCAATTCGACCTTGGTGATTTCAATGGAGTAGTTTGAGGAGCAGTACTACAGGTTGATTATGGAGGAAAAAGAGAAGGGTATGGTGAGCAAAGATGTGATTGATGGTGCAGGGGTTGAAATTCCCCTTATCAGAAACGGGCTTTGGAAGAGGAAGTTTGCCTTCACCCATGCAACAGCAACTCGTCCTCTTCCGGAACCACCTCCGTGTCAGGAAGCTTTATGGTAAGGAAGGATAGCGGGAGCCCCTCTTGGTTATGGGGATGCAGCTCAGTTTTAATAATGTTGTTTTTTCTTTTGGTCAGGCTATGTCTGTTCTCGCGTTCTATTTTTTGTTTTGATGGACTCTTGCATTAGGATTGGGTGATGAGAGGTCTCTTTTGATCGCTTTTGGCTCAGTTATGCCCATTACAAGATTAACGAATCATATTGCTTTTTGGAAGGTGATTGACTTTAAGTCTGGTTCGAGGGCTGGCGGTTGAGAGTGGTCCTTTTATCTATTTGTTCCATATCTGAATGTCGTGATCGATATCAATATAAGTCATCCTTATTCCCAAAAAGTATAGAAACTAACGAAAAATATATAACTACTATTTTAATAAACAGTGTGTCAATTTATTAATATAATATAAATTTGGATAAACCAAATATTTCCCTTATGTAGTTGATTTTACATCTATAAAGTGTGGATAGAAACGTGAAAAAGTAAGGCAGGAAGGATTTCATGTAATGAAAGAAACAAGAGCATGAATTATTTAAATCTGTTTTGTTTAATGGGTTTGTATTAGCAGTAATGGAGTATTTTATTCTATAAAGATTTACCTAAATAGGACTAAAACATATGAAAAGTTTCATTATAGGACTATCGCTTTTCAGAGCAATAGAGTAGGACTAAAATATAGATGGAATTGCAAAATTGCCCTACAATACTACTCTTTTACCATTTGCGACTTTCGAAGCTTGCGCTGAAGGATGCCTCTGCAAAGCTTGCCCTACATGGTGGCTACGATGACCGTGAATGACAATGAATGATGTCTCTGCAAAGCTCGCCCTACATGGTGGCTGCGATGACCGTGAATGACAATGAAGGTGCCTCTTCTATTTTCTCAGATAAGCTCCTCCTCCTCTTCAAGCTTCTTTATTTTCTTTCTTCCAATGTTCATCTGTTTCTTCTCATTTTAATTTTTAATTTTTATAAATTTCATCTAATTCATAATACTTTTCTCCCCATTTGGACCTGAAAATGCCATAATTGTGCACCGATTTGATATAAATGTCACGGCCTTGACATTACATTTATCAAAATGACCATTTTTATTTTACATCTTCATTACATTTTCAGGGCAAAGTATGACAATTTCAAAGAGTAAAAATGACACATGCTTGACATTTTCAACGACTGCCATGTTTTTACATATGTAAATGACTTCTTTCATGACATTTTGAGAATAGACATGTCA